GGCAGGTGCCCATCTCGTCGGACAGAACCTCCCCCTGTCGAGCAGGTGCCCATCCTGTCGGGCAGAACCTCCTTCCGTCGGGCAGGTGCCGATCTCGTCGGGCAGAACCTCCTCCCGTCGGGCAGGTGTCCATCTCGTCGGGCAGAACCTCCTCCCGTCGGGCAGGTGCCCATCTCGTCGGGCAGAACCTCCTCCCGTCGGGCAGGTGCCCATCTCGTCGGGCAGCACAACGTGCCTTCCACACGTTCTCCACGTGCTCCCCTCCGTGGGGACACGTCATCCACCAACTGCCCATCTCCGAAAGAGCAGGTCAAACCCACTTTCCGGAGATCACGGAGCAGTTGGACTAGGGCGAAAACCACATTTCGGTCTTCACTACGCCACGTAAGCCCTAACAGTCATTTGGATTGGGCCTGGCCATCCAGTCCAACTCAAATGACCGTTGGCCCAGCGCTGGGGTCTCTCTATAAATACCCTCTTCCCCAAGAGGGCCAGGTAATTCACATCTTGCCCTTTTTCTGTACTTTGCTGTCACTCTGCCCAATTTCTCACTTTGGCATCGGAGTGCCTTGCAGGTACACCCCATCCTCATCCTCCACACCGGTGAACAGGAAGCAGTCCAATAACGTGTGGTCAGTCCGTGATCCCCTTCTGATCAGGTCAGATCAATTATTATAAGAGAATTATTTATTAAACTATTTAATTGTGATATATGTCAAAATTCTATTATTATGCACAATAAATAGTATTATATACATGTTTATTTATAAGAGACAATTTATTTTTTAAAAATAAATTAAATAATTAATGTATATAAATTAGAGTCAAATATGTTTTTAAACCCTATAAATATATCAATATTTAATTTTAGTCCTTGTAAAAATTTTCTTCAAACAATGATCTTCACAATCTTTTTCGTCCCTACAATTGGTCCCTCCCGTTAGTCCCTACTAACGCAGGCCTACGTGGCTTACCGAATATGTAATTTTTTATACTCACGTGGAGATTTTTATTTCTAATTTGCCAGAGTGGAAGTATTGATAATGTTATCATATAACCCTACCAGCCTAATAAGGTTAAACATCTCTTTCAGTTCACAACTCGAGCGAGTGCCCTACAAAGACTATTCATTTGCATCATATTCAGTGGTCCTGGAACAAATCTTCGTTGCAGTGGTCCCGATAAAAACTTTTTTGTTACTTTACTCTCTCATTTCACTTGCAATCAAGATTGGTCATACTTAATCACATTCAATGGTACTAGGTAATTCATTATGTTGTATATTTAGTATTTGTAGAGTTAGATAAATAATCACTCTTCTAATATTGATTTCAAAATTCTACTTATATATAAGGAGTATTTCTACCACATACCATATTTGTTTGACCTCATTTGGTAAATTTTAAACCTAAGCTAAAATTTTGAACAAAAAACGGATAAATTTAAGGTTGTTTTCTACTCAAAGGGTTGTTTTATAAAAGACTATAACATAAGATATGATGGTGGAGAAGTATATGCTTTTACCGGTTAAGACCCCAATTATTGGTCTTTTTTTTGAAGCATGTGACTTAGTCAAAGTGATTGACTCTGAGATAAATTTGAGTTTCGTTACTGTGTGGTGGAAAAATGATAAATGATCTTTTAAAGAAGATTTAAAACCATTTAGGGATAACGAAGATGCTTATAAGTTAACTGTGTATGCTGTTGGAAATAACTGCGAACTTAAGATATTCTATGAGTCAAAACCAGTTATAAGAGAGGCCAACTTTATGGATAGGGTTAAAGATAAAGGAAAAGGGAAGACATGTGATGAAGTTGGTGACAAATTATGTAAAATTAGTGGTGATTCTAGTGATGAATCTGTGAGGGGTGTACACTTTGATGATAATGAGGAGGAGAGAATGAAAGGGTTGTTGTAGGTGGATGGTGAACCTAGAACTGAACATGTTGCTAATAATGAGCCCCAAGTGAACTAGTCAAGAAGATGTTTATCATAGAATAGATGGGTTAGGAACATGCCATTGAAGATTCATACATGACTGATGAACTGAATAATGGGGATGATGATAACAATTATGATGAAATGCCACGCGTAATCAAGTTCAATGAAGAAGATTTTCTAAGTAAGGATTTTACTTTAAAGGTTGGAATGGTATTTTCTTCATTGAATTAGTTCAAATATGCTATACTAGAGCATGATGTTTTGAATGGTAGGGATGTGCGGTTTGAAAAAAAATGATGTCAACAAATGTAAGGACAAGGCAAAATGTAACTATACTGTCTTGTGCAGTATAGTCTTAATCTCTAAGTTTAAAACCTATATTTGAGAGGTGCTATATGTACTTTGATGGAACTAAGAAAGCTTTGGCAAAAACATGCATACCACTCATTGGCTCATATGGATGTCATTTGAAGCACAAGTATGGTGGTATATTACTGATTGTTGTAGGAAGAGACCTTAATGACCAATATCTGTCTATTGCTTTTGTTGTGGTTGAAACTGAAACAAAAGATCCTAATGAAAAATATTTGCCTATTGCTTTTGTTTTAGACATTCAACCTTTAAGTGTTGACAAATCACCTATCAAGCCAAGTGAATCAAAGCCAAGTGGTGTCAGGGTTTTCTTTGGTAAACAACCAAAAGTCTGCAAAAACAAACCTTTAAAACCCCAAGGATTATTTTCATCAAATCCAACTTGTAGTAAACTAGTGAGTATTAAACCTGTTCTGAGCATATTCATCCTTCTTAGGTCATCTTTCTTATGTCTGTTTCTTTTTATCCCAAGTCAATAACAGATTCAAGAAGAATGTTGATGTGACAAGTGAAAAAAGACAGAGTGAAAGGATGAGGGCACTAAAAACAAAGGATGTATTTGTCCCTAGTAAAAACTTGATGATCCTTTAGTGGTAACTGAAGAGGAAACCACAGAAGAATTGATTGGTCGTGGTAGGAGATCAAAAATTTGGCCAAGCATTTGCAATGGGCTAACTCAGTGAAAACTCTTTGAAGATGTAGTTGAAGATAACTATTTATGTTATGTTCATGTTTCTATTTTGAAGAAGATATTACTATTTTGATAAGACATATGTACTGTAATATAATGAATGGATTAATCACTATTTTGTTATGGCTTAATTACTATTTTGATATGTAATGAATGTATGATACTGCATATGTAATGAAATGTCTGTAATTAATTAATCTTTGGTGAAATCTGTTTGCATTTCTATGTCAAAATTATAGGTCACATTCTTTCAAAATCATAGGCCACATTCTATCAAAATTATAGGTCACATTCTGTCAAAATTATACTAGACATTCTATCAAAATTATAGGTCACATTCTGTCAAAATTATAGGTTATATTTTGCTCAAATTATAGGTCATATTATGTCCAAATTATGGGTCATTCCAAATAGTACAATACATAACTGAACTAACAAAGTGAATCTAACAAAATCACTTAAATTAAATTATAGTTCATACCAAATATCAATGCATTGCATAACTAAACTGCATTACATAAGTGATGGTTACATAAATGATCAAGATATTAAAAGCATCAGTTAAATGATATTACAAACTTAGAAGAACATCAATATATCATTTCAACATTTACATTTCAATAACAAGTACATGTTGACTAAAAACGAAAATACTAGATAAATTGACTTCAGCTTTCTCCAAAATGCCTCTGATTTACTCTTGATTTGCTATCTCTTGTTGTTCTTCATTGAAGATTCTTACAACTCCTTCCAAGTGTCAATAACTTGCATCTCTTTCATCATCTTTGCTCCATTCTTTATTTACACTTTCATAATCATCTTTTCCTTGTGCAATATCATCATCCCAAATGAAAAAAATTGTAAGTTTTCTCATTTTGCCAAAACGGACATCTCTAAAAAAATCTTCCTTTGTTACGTTCGTTCTTGCAATAGTATGATATCATACGAGCATTACACTCACGCCTTCTCACTAGACGGTTGTTCACACTTGTGGAATGATACGAAAGAGAAGAAGGGGTGCAAAGAAGATGGTGACTCTCAGTGCAGAAGAAAGAAGAAAAATATTTGAAACCAAGTGGCGAACACAATAGAGTTTATGCATTTTACTTTAATATAAAACAAAAATAATTAATTTAATAAAAATATGACGTATCAAACAAAAAATACACATATGACATGGTTTGAAAAAAAATTTGTCAGAATCATTGTTTAAAGAAAATTTTTAGAAAAATTAATATTAAATATTTACATTTATGAGGGCCTATAACATATTTAATTCTATAAATTATATATCAAATATAACAACATAACAACATATTAACGTTACCGCTTGCATATTAAAAAAACAAAACACAAGAGTACATAAGAAAAATTAAGAATGAAGATTTGAAACAAGAAAAAAACATGAAGAAAAGAGAAAGAAAGTGAGATTATCCTTTTCAGAACATGACGAGAAACAAGCCGTGTCACCAAAAAGATAGCTTCAATTGTTTACAAACAACACTAGTACCTCAAATACAGCAAACAAACCAGAAGCGAAATTCTTAACCTAACACATGATGACGTGGCTCAGTAAGAGAACGACACGTGTCAAAACATGACAAAATGAACCTTAATATCACCGACAAACACCATCATGTTTTTTCTTTCCCACTCTTTCCTTTTCACTCGCAAACGTTCAGCAAAATTCCCCATATACAAACACTCTCCGCAAAACCCTAACTTTTTTCTTCAAATTTTTTAGATCAGTGTTTGATTTGTATTCAATTCATCTTCGATTTTTCAAGGTGAGATTGTTCGGGGAGTGATTAGTTCTCTTCTGATGTATGATTTCCAATCATCTACACCTAATTTTTCTTATTCAATTTCCCATATTTTTCTCCCTTATGATGTGTTTTTCATATGCTGCTTCAATTGCCTGAGATTTCGTCTTAAAATTTGATACTTCTGTGAATCTATCTGCTGTTGAGAGAAAAATATTTTCAATTTTCAAGCATGGGAGATCGTCATAGAGCTGTTTCCTTTGATGAATTACCTTCATATTTGCTTTTGGAAATTATGTGCTCAGGGAAGCTCAGTGCTATTGACCTAGTTTGTTTGGAATTTACTTCAAAAATCTTTAGTGCTACTAATGCCTTGTGCCCTTCCAAATTTAAGTCATTGGTGGAATATGCTGCTTTCCAATTGTGTGGCTCTCATGCCATCTTTTGTAAGATGAGTTTGAATTCTCAAAAGGAGTTGTATGATCGATGCGGCGGAAAGTGGAAGCGGGTTTTGAGGTTCTTGCAGTCTGTGGAACAAGCCTCTGGTGTGGTTGAGACACCGTCAGGAAGTGTAATATTTATTTCATTTGTACTTGTTTCTATTTAGTATCATTACTGTTTTTTTTATAAGAGAGCTGTTGTGGAGTTGTAGATAATGATGAATGGTGTTTTATTGGCAGATGCAAATAACAACAGGAAAGTATCACACGTTAGCGATCAGTAACTCCTCGGTGTATTCATGTGGTTCTAGCTTGTGTGGTGCACTTGGTCAAGGGTCTGAAACAACACAGCTTCCAGCATTGGCTCAAATCGATTTCCCACCTTTGGCGCGTGTCGCACATGTTTCGGCCTCCTATAACCATGCAGCTTTTGTAATGCAATCTGGAGAGGTTTGTAGCGGCTTAATATTTATTCAATTAGTCATCATCACTCGTGAGCAAGTCATTAGTCTGGAATAAACTACTCTGCCTGTTCTATTAGTGCTTTATTTTCTTGAAATTGAAACCAATTGTTTAATATTGTAAAATGATTAATACTTGTTTCCATTGTGAACTTGCGTTTTCACTTTGCAGGTATTTACATGTGGAGATAATTCGTATTTTTGCTGTGGTCATAGAGATACAAATCGAGCAATTTTTAGGCCACGTCTTGTTGAATCCTTAACGGGGATTCCTTGCAAGCAGGTAAAATGCAGATCATACTTTCATTATCATTTTTGTTGGCTGCATGAAAGTTAATGGTTGCTCCTATTACATGTTAATATTGTTTTTACTCTGATATCTTTTGCTATATATTTTATCTTGTCTGGTATTGTTTAAAATTGGCTATCAAGCCTTTGCATGAAGTCTCCAATAAAATCCATTTTGTAGTTTCAATCAGAGTCACTTAATGATCTGAAGTATATAGGGAACTGCGAATTGGTTTGCACGTACCTATTCACGACACTTTTCCAAATTGATTTGTCGGAATTTTTGCTGAATTTGTAAGAAGTTACAAACCAAAAAGCGGAAAAGTAAGCGTAATGGAGGGGCTTCTCACGTGGGAATGAAAGAGGAGTTATCAAACTAGAGAATGCTAATGGAGGGGGTTCTTATCCCTTTCACAAAGGTCACAACATATTCTATTTTAATGGTTCTAACTAGGGTGGACCATCATGCATTCAGTCCATTTGTGGATCATTGGTAGTAGTCATCGGGTATATCAGCATTTTAGTAAATGATCTTGATTTTGAACCGGATACATCAAATTTGAGAAGTTCCAAAAATTGTTGTTGGTGCTTTTGTTTCCATTGAATTCATCATCCTAGAGTTGAGGCATTGTTATTGGTGCTTTTGTTTCCATTGAATTCATCATCTAGAGTTGAGGCACTGACTAATCGAGAGGCAAAAAACCAGCATACTAGGGTTCCTAAAATTGTAGTTGGTGCTAGAGCATATAGCAACATGCTAATAAATGCTCATGAGAAGTGGGATATGATGGTTTGACATCACATCAGATGAAAGACAAGGTGGTTCACCTCGCTGCGGCATGACATTAAGTAGGGTATAAAAGTGCTGTTGGGCTGAGAGCTGGGTGTTATTGTCGGTAAGGATGAAATAGTGCTTGGGGTAACTAATTCATTGAAGTAAGGAGGTTGTGAAGTAAAGGAAGTTCAAGAACTGATAATGACCTAATTGGGGATTTGATTTGCAATTTTAATCAAATTAGATCTTTACTATAGAAAGGATTGGTTAATAATAACTCTTAGAATTTGATTGGGTCTAACCCAACCTTACGAAACCAACTAGTAAGATGAGGGTTATCCAAATTTTATAAACACTGCAAATGCCATATTTCTAAACAATGTAAGACTAAATCCACTCCTTTACATCCAATGAATGTGTTGGAGAGTGCAATGAACACAACCAAACTAGAGGCGGATCGTGATGATGAGCGGAATTTCCAACAATAACCAATGCTAGCATATGAAAATGATGGTCTGGGTGGACCACATATTTAATTAGTGGTTCATCTTGATCAACATTTTATGTTACAGTTTTTCTAACGTGTGCAAAATTGCACACGAAAAGGATAATTAATTACTCAAAATATTTTTTTGGATGTTTTCGTCGGCTTTTGATCTTATAATAGCTAATACATCTTTTAGGAAAAAAGATGAGCATCTTATCACATAAAAGAGTGGAGTGATATGTTTTCAGATGGATTTATTTCTTATTAGGAAGTCAGATAGGAAGATCTGCTAGGATAATTGTAAAGCGATACCTGGAGAAAACTTGACTATCCAACATAGAGTATTGGTTATGGATGTAAGAGATAAGAGGAGAGAGAAAAGAAGAAGTCACACGGCTGCTATATGGATCAAGTGGTGACATTTGAAGGGTGAAAAACAAGGAGATTTTCAACACAAGATCTTGGAGGGAGGGTTTGGATAGGCAAAAGGAAGTGCGAATGATATGTGGAAAAAATGACAAAAAATTAGAAAAGTAGCAAAAGAAACGTCGAGAGAATCAAGAGGTTTTGGACCTTGGGGTAAAGAATCGCGGTGGTAGAACGAAAGTGTTCAGAGTAAAGTTCTACTAAAAAAAAAGTTTGAACAAATGGTCTAGGTGTAAAACTGCTGAAACTTGGGAAAAGTATAAGAAAATTAGAAAGAGACCAAGAAGGTGGTGGTTGAAGTAAGAACCCAACACTTTTGACGGATTATATCAATCTTTAGGAAACAAGGTGGGAGAAAAATTTATAGACATGCTTGCTAAGGGAAGGAAAAAAAACACAAGATTTGGATCAAGTGTTTTCAAGATGAAGAAGGTAAAATTTTGGTTTAGGAAAAATATATAAAAGATAGGTGGAAAACGTATTTTTACAATTTATTTAATGAAGGATACATCTCATCGGATTCTAATAAGCTCAACATTAGAGAAAAGGATTGAAACTATAATTACTACCGTTGGATTTAAAATTAAGAGGTAAAAAAAGCGTTGAAAAGGATGAGTATGATAGAGTGCACTAAATTACTTCCATGGGACTCTAGCAAGGCTTGCACTTAATTTTTGTTGATTTGGAGAAGACGTATGATAGAGTGCCTCGAGAGATGGAAACCTCTAGAGAAGAAAGAGGCTAGGATTGTTTATATTTGAGTAATCCAAGATATGTATGATGAAGTATCAACTATCGTGCAGACACTGGGTGGAGAGCCGAACAATTTTTCCATTTCAATAGAATTGCACCATGGTTCAATCCTAAGCCCTCAACTCTTTGCTCTAATTTTGGATGTACTCACGAAACATATCTAAGAGCTAGCACCAAGATGTATGCTTTTTGAAGATGATATAGTAAGACTTGGGGAGTCGAAGAAGGATTTAAATGAGAGGTTCGAGATTTGGAGGCGAGTCTTAGAATTACATGGCTTGAGCTTAAGCAGAAGTAAAGACAAAGTATATGGAATGTAAAAATTTTGCAAAAGGAAAGTGTTTCTAACTTAGAGATGAAAGTTGGAGGCCATATTATACCACAAGTCACGCGGTTTAAATATCTTGGATCCGTAATACTAAACGATGGAGAACTAGAAGAATATATAAACCTGTGAATTCAAGGTGGGTGGATGAAATGGAGGAGAGCCGCATGAGTTTTAAGCGACACAAAAGTACCACTCAAGCTGAAGGGAAAATTTTATCGGACATTGATAAGACCTGCAATGTGGTACAAGACAAAATGTTAGACAATTAAGAATCAACATATGAATAAAGTTAGTGTAACAAAGATGATGATATTGCGTTGAATGTGTAGTTAGAATAGACAAGATAAGATTAGAAATGACAATATTAGAGAGTGTTGGAGTATCACCTATAGTAGAAAAGATGATGGAAAATAGTCTTAGGTGGTTTGGTCATCTAGAGAGAAGACCTGTATATTATGTGGTAAGGAGTAAATAATATTACATGGTAAGGAGAGTAAATAAGATGGAGAACAGTGAAACGACTAGAGGTAGAGGAAGACCTAGAAAAACTATAAGACAAACTATTAAAAAAGATCTAGAGATTAACAAATTAGATAGAAACACGGTCTTGGATAGAATAGGGCAGAATTTGATCCATGTAGCCAGAGTTAGTGGGACAACATTTATTATTTACTTTTAGTGGTTCTTAACAATTGTATCATTGTACATTTGAAAAACTGTTAAAAGTTAATATCAATCTAAATTCTCATCGTATGATCTAATCCCACTTTAGTCTAAATATCTTGAGCAACCAAGTATTTGGGGAACCTTCCCTTAAAAGCTAGCTATGCTATGAAAGGGGAAAAACCAAACCAGAATGCCAAAGTTCCTGTCAGATCCCAAGCTCACTTTGATTCCATTATTTATAATATTTTGTAGCTTGCAATATGTTTTGATCTTCGATTTATATACCGAGCAAGTCTATACTGTAACATTATTTTGGTTTTAGTTCATTACCAAGTTATTTGAAGGAACTCAAGTGAAACATAAAAATAACAACCAAAATGTAATTATCCAAATTTTCAGCATTCAAGAAGCCTGTTTTAATAACATGAATGTCTCTCAGGTTTCAACAGGGCTAAACTTCACCGTCTTCCTCACTAGGCAAGGTCATGTGTATACTTGCGGGAACAACTCGCACGGCCAACTTGGTCTCGGTGACACTCAGGACAGACCAAACGCCAAAATGGTTGAAGTCCTCGGCAACGTAGGCCCTGTTGCTCAGGTTGCTGCCGGATCAAACTATATCTTATCTGTAACAGAAGATGGATCAGTATACTCCTTTGGATCAGGTTCTAATTTCTGTCTCGGTCACGGTAGTCAACACGACGAGTTGTTTCCTCGTTGCATACAGAAATTTAGAAGAAAAGGTATTCATATTGTCCGCGTATCTGCCGGGGACGAGCATGCAGCCGCACTTGATTCAAATGGAATTGTGAGTTTCGCATGTCACACAATTTTTCAATTTTGTTACTTGTCACACTTGCGAGAATAGCTTTTGATTTTCTGATATTGATGGTTCAGGTATATACATGGGGTAAGGGATATTGTGGTGCTTTAGGCCATGGTGATGAGATCGAGAAGACAAGACCAGAAATCTTGTCTAGTCTCAAGAATCACGTGGCTGTTCAGGTATTATTACTTTGATCTGTTTACTATTTACTATTACTATTTGATCTATGAGTGTCGTGTCTGGTGTCTGTGTCTGGTTTCTGTGAATGCTTTTTCATCCTATTATTATTTACATGTGTAGGTGTGTGCAAGAAAGAGAAAAACCTTTATTCTACTTGAATCAGGTTTGGTTTACGCCTTTGGTTCGATGGGATTCGGCAGCCTAGGATTTTTAGACAGAAGAGTAAATGACAAAATCTTAAAGCCAAGACTGTTAACCACATTGAAATCTTACCATGTTTCTCAAATCAGTACTGGCCTTTACCACACTGTGGTTGTCACCAACCATGGCCAAATATTTGGGTTTGGTGACAATGAAAGAGCTCAGCTGGGTCATGATTCTTTGAGAGAATGCACTGAACCAACTGAGATTTTCATAGAAAAACCATACGAAGATTATGATTCTATTTATTGAAGTTGACAAGTAAAAAACAATCACATATTTTCTGTTGTAAAAGTTTAATGTTTTTATAATCTGTATTCAAAAGTTGTAAACAAATAATGTCAGTAACATGTAAGATTGTAAGAACCATTTTTCAATAAGTTGAAGAGTGTGTTTTAATTTAGTTCAGTAAAGTTTTGTACCATTTATTGTCATTAATATCTATGTATTATTCTAGAAAAAAACTGCAAGTATTGTATTTTTTTTCTAAGGTTAAATCCTCCAATGAAATGTGTTGTGTTCTTTGTATGAAAATGTTATCATTTGTGAAAATAATTGCATGTATATTCGGAAATCATTTGCAGTAAATGGTAAATTTAAAGTGTTATGTGAAATTTGTTCCGAAATAAAAGCCAGGAAGAAATTCTGGAATAAAATTCACAAGTTAACTTTTGGACTCACCACACCCTATTTCATTTTGAATTTCTTATATTATATCCTTTAGGAAAAAATGTTACAATTTTTTAAAGCATTTTATATATTTTTAAGAGTTTAAATGGTATACATGTGTAAAATAAATTTATGCTGTTATTTAATAGGAATTTATTAATCTGTTATGTTATACTATTAACTTATACTAGCGTCCAGACGAGCACTTGCGTGTCCGTCTGTCAGCTTTTTTATTGCACACATATAAATATAAATGATATATTTTTATTTAATATTAATTTTACATGGAAGTTATGTGAAAAGTTATTAGTAGGGAGTTATATGAAAGATAATAGTAGTAGTTCAATGGAAGTTATTGGGTAAGTTATATATTTTAAAATAAAGGTAAATTTGGTATAAAAAAAAGCTACACAAAAAATCAAGTATTGCCTTTATATATGTTATAGATGATGTGATGGGATATACGAGGGAGACTGTTTGACAGTGTAAAATAATTTTACATTTGATCTTATCGGAACAGAAAGAGATCATCAGCCAGTATCGCATCATGAGTTCATAGTTCGTCGGCGTCGGAGAAGAGGAGGAGGGTGTATCTGCAAGACATTCTGATCCAGACGAGCACTTGCGTGTCCGTCTGTCAGCTTTTTTATTGCACACATATAAATATAAATGATATATTTTTATTTAATATTAATTTTACATGGAAGTTATGTGAAAAGTTATTAGTAGGGAGTTATATGAAAGATAATAGTAGTAGTTCAATGGAAGTTATTGGGTAAGTTATATATTTTAAAATAAAGGTAAATTTGGTATAAAAAAAAGCTACACCAAAAATCAAGTATTGCCTTTATATATGTTATAGATGATGTGATGGGATATACGAGGGAGACTGTTTGACAGTGTAAAATAATTTTACATTTGATCTTATCGGAACAGAAAGAGATCATCAGCCAGTATCGCATCATGAGTTCATAGTTCGTCGGCGTCGGAGAAGAGGAGGAGGGTGTATCTGCAAGACATTCTGATGCTAAAGTAAATTTTAGCGGGAGAGAGCCAACAAATACAGAAAGCGTAGAAAATAGAATACCTGATCCTCTAGTGAAAGAGGGTATTTATAATGTGTCTTCAGCGCTGAGCCAATTGTTACTTGCATGGAGTTCGATCATTAGGCCCCGTGAACTTCGGACGGTGGAGAATCTGTTCTCTCGGACGCGGGTAGTTGGTTGATGACGTGTCCTCACGTGGGGAGCACGTGGAGACCATGGGGGAGACGCGTGAGAGCTTCCCGTGTGAGATGATGAATTAGGTCTTCGTTAGGGTTTTCCCGACGAAGAGTTGAGTTAGGCCGTGCCTGACGGAGGGTCAGTCTCTGTCCCAGTCCAAAACAACAACAACACTGTTAGTGTATATCAATTAAATTCTATTTTTAATGCATCACGCAAATTTTCAAAAATGCTTTATGTTTTCGAAGATGCATCATTTCAACACACAAATTTTAGTCACACCTCAAATTTATGAATAAATTCAATTTAGAAATCTCAGAACATTTTTCAAAAATATAATTTTGGAACCATATTTTACATATCGAATAAAGGCTTTTCTACTGCAATCTAAGACCCTGTGATTGCATTTTTCTATTCATACATCAATGAATATACTACGAAACATAAAGGCTTTCCTAACTCCAATCTAAGATTTTTAAAAAAATATGTAGGGTTTATTAAACAACCCCATTATATTTTGTACTCAAAGTGAATATAAATTAATGGGTATTATTTTTTCCACTCTATGAACATATTGAAATATTTGATTTTTTTTCTTTCATATATTATATATATCTCAAACGCACTACATTTCATTTATGTCTAAATTGCTTTTGAAATACATTTTCGAAATTGTCACTTATGGTGTTTTAAAGGATGTGGCAAATGAGTCACATTTCAATTTATGCCAAAAACTAATTTGAGGGTGCATCTTTAGAATAACCACTATATTGTGTTTTAAATTGATTAAGCCACAATTAGTTTAAGAGCATCTTTAGTACATGTTCTGTAGTATTAAATTCTTTAATAGTAACGGTAGCTATAAACAATTTGCTTTGGAATAAGAATGACATGACAGTAAGTGAACTAAGAATTAGTTTTCGGCAGCTATATAACCAACGCACGCTATCAAATTTCAATGACTCTGATTATTATTTTATTATTATTTTATAATATTAAAATATAAAACGTGGGGTCAAATTTTGGTTTTTTACAAGCAACCATCATTAAAGTAAAAACAACTCAAGTCAACTATAAATTTTTTAAATCCTACAAATCACTTTGAGTCCACAAAAAGTATCTTAGTTTTATCAATTTAGTTTATTCCGACTAAATATGCTCTAAGTTGATTGAGTCACCCTTAATATAATCAATGAAGTTTTGAAGACACATTTCCGAAATGTCAAGTGGAAAAATAAATAAAATAACACACTTTCATATTCTTCTCCATAATCAAACACACCTATTTTATCAACATCTTAAAAAACTTCTTCCACTCTCAATCAACTTTTCCACTTCAAAACAACATTCATGTGTTTTATCACGTTAAAAGAAGCAAAAGAACCTGCAAATTAAGGTAAATAACATGTTTTTTCTTACACATTGATTGCATTGAGCTGGTTTTTTTTTTGGGATATTAATTTACATCCGTTAACGGAGATTCATGTGAGAATTATCTGTTTGGACCTTCAAAGTCGAGGAATTTTTCCTCCGCAGGGACGGAGATGGAAGGAAAAGTTCCTCCAGTGACAGTTTAGGGTGGAAATTGAGGAAGTATCCTCTACCCTGCAAATTTTCCAAACCCGACCATACTATTTAACTTTTATATATAATATAATATATAATTATATAATTTTACATGATTATTTTATAAAAAAATTAATATATTAAAAAATAAGAGTCATTATGGATCAATATAATGTATTGTTTCGCTACCTAAGTACCTAATTTTAGAAAAGTTCACTCACTACATTCAGTGTAAACACCGTCTCTTCTTATTCTTTTCTCAATTCATTTTGTCTCCTCCATTCCTCGTCTCCAGTGTTCTCATCATCATCAAAACAAGCACTCTCATTTGTTCACTATACTTATGATAATTACTTTTCAACTTCAATATACTTCAATTAACAACTTAATTTTTATTCAATTCATAAATTATCGTTTATGTTTTCGTAACTACAAGTACTTTTACATTTTTTTTACCATCAACTATCAGTAGAGACGGATCCAGATAAATAATAAAGTGGAGGCAAAATTCATCTATAAATTTGTAACATTAAAAATATTATATACATTATTTTAGTGTAAATTTACATCGTAACTTTTGTTTCCAAAATAAAAACTACATTATTTTTTAATTGATTTGTTCATTTTTAACACCCTAAAATATCCAGCATAATATATATATATATATATATATATATATATATATATATATATATATATATATATATATATATATATATATATATATATATATATATATATATATATATATATATATATATATATATATATATATATATATATATATATATATATATATATATATATATATATATATATATATAGATAGATAGATAGATATTCCATCTCTCTCTCTCTCTCTCTCTCTCTCTCTCTCTCTCTCTCTCTCTCTCTCTCTCTCTCTCTCTCTCTCATTAAATAATTTATGAGCAAAACTAATCGTACCTGATCAGAAAGGAGTCAGTAGTCTGCCGCATGTCGTGAGTTGCTGTCTTCACCGGTATTGTAGAGGAGAAAGGGGGTGTACCTGCAAGATGTTTCGATGCTTAAGTGAGTAGCGGAACTAGAGAGAGCTAGTACAGAGAAAAAATGTTGTGAATAAGATACCTGACCCTCTAGTGAAAGAGGGTATTTATAATGTGCCCACAGCTCAGGGCCAACGGTTACATTGCAGTGGGCCAAATTGTCAAGCCCAAAACAAGTAACTGTCAGAGCTTACGTGGCGTAGTGAAGACCCATAAGTAGTCTTCGTCCTGGATCATCTGCCCCGTGATCTTCGGAAGGTGGGCTGACCATCTCTTTTGGAAGTGGATAGTTGTCTGATGACGTGTCCCCGCGTGGGGGGCACGTGGAGAACGTGGAGAAAGCGCGTGGGCTCTCCTCGCGCCAAGTAGTGGTCTTCCCGACTAAGGGGCCTTGTTGAGAGGCGTGCCCGACATGGGAGGATTGAGCCTTGTTGGGCCTCCCCAACATAGTGTTGGGTTGGGCCTGCCTGACTGAGGGGTAGGTCTCGGCATAGTTCAAAACAGGAGCCCCCTAAATCGTTGCTCATAAATGGAGGAGTAATGACTTAAGAGCGAATTAAGGTGTCGAAGACTAGTTCAGAAGATGTTGGCTTTCCCGACATACATAGTTGAGGGTCGCGTGCGCGGCCGGAAGTGATAGGTTCCCGACGATAGAATGTCGGGGAAGTGGAAAGGCGAATGGATGTGCTCGTTCTTCGAACACGAGGGAAGCTGAGGGGACTCTCGTGGTGTTCCCTAGCGCCACGTGTCGCGTGTAATTAATACCTAG